ATTATTGAGATATGATTTTGTTCCTCGTCATTTTGGTTTATTTCTACTTTTTAATTTGAAATATTTTCTCCTTTGGTTTACTACTCCTTTAGTGTAGTTCTTCCCTTTGCTTTTTTTTTCTTCCCATTTCATCTTTTTGGAGTGTTTTGAGAGCATATAGTGCAGGCATTCTAGTTGTGTATTCTTTTTAACTTTTCTTTCTCATAGAAATTTTTTATTTCATTTTCAAATCTAAAGGTTAATATTGCTGGATGTAGAGTTCTTTGTTAGCATCCATTTTCTATTAGAAATTGTATGTATTTTCTCAGGACCTCCTAGCTTTGAGGATCTGCATTGTGAAATTATTTGATTTAAATTGTTTTCCCACTACACATAATCTGATATTTCTCTCTCTCAGTCTTTAAAATTCTATCCTTATTCTGTATGTTAGGCATTTTTGTTGCAATGTGCCTCGATGTGGGTATGTTGTAATTTTATACATTTGGGGTCCCATAAATCTTTTGCATTTGATTGTCTCCATTTCCTTCTCCAGTTTGGGAAATTTTCTGATATTCTTCCACTGAAAAGATTGTGCATTTATTTGGTTTCTTCACTTCTTCATCTATTCTGATAAATCTTAAATTAGATTTTTTCATGTTATCTCATAATTCTTGGAAATTTGGTTCATGGTTTCTTACCATACATATTCATGGTCAATATTATTTTCAAGATTATATATTTTGTCTTCATCGCCTGAAGTTCTATCATCCAAGTGGTCTAGTCTGTTGGGGTGATACTTACTATTGAATTTGAATTTTGTTTATTTATTCCTTCATTTTGCAGGTTTCTTCTTGATTTCTTTTCAGGATCTGTATCTTTATTGAAATTATCTCCTGTAATTTATCTCTGATTTCACTACTTACATCATCCTTTACATTGCAGATCAGTTTAATTGTGTATATTCTGAACTCCTCCTCTGACTTTTTTTCTACTGTGAAGTCCATAGGTTCTATTATTGGATTATCTTTGTTTGTTTGGGGCACTTGGGTTTTTTTTTTTCATGTTGCTTGTGAGTCTACCCATCCAACAATGTGGATCTGAGGCAGTATAGTTTCTATTCTGTTAACTTATTGTGTCCCTGAGGTTTCTAATTCCTCATCTTTAAGGGGAAGGCAAACAATAACAGTACCCAATGCAAATACTATATAGCCATAAACCAAATAGGTCCTACTAAGACATCTAAAGTTTTTTGTAACAAACAGAAATGGTTTTATCAATTATTGCATGCAATAGAAACAATATGTTTGCAAAAGGACTTAAAACGGTAGACAAAAAACAGTAGTGATTCAGGTTGTGATGGTTATGAAGAGGTGAGAAGATAGAAGTAAAAAAAATTAGAGGAAGAGTCAAGAAGGAATAAATAGAGGTTGGCTGTTAGCATGAGAAAAGAGAGAAAGAGAATCAGAAAAGTTTGAGGAAAATATACATAAGTATTTTTTTAATACCCTAAAAATAAACAGAAAAAAATTAAAAATAAAAGAATACACAATGAAACTGTAATATAATATTCAGACATCCCGGGTCTTAAAAAATTGGTGCATGAAAAATACTTGATTTTAAAAATGGTAGAAATGTGAGGGAAAAGGGGAAAAAAGAAGATCTCAATGAAAAATTATATATTTATTTCAGTTGGAATTCAAAATTTTCTTAGCAGTCAAATGGTGTTGTCTGGAATTTGATTCAAGCTCCACCCTCAGGATGGTTGGAGATTGCTAGGGTGAGAGGGTAGTCATAGAGGAAGAACTCATGGAGACAGGATGTAGGCTTAATTAAGTATTCTTCGCACCATTTGGTGCCTATTAGTATGGAGATTTAAGTCAGAGCACCTCCAAATCCCAGCAGTTCTGGTCCCTCCTGGAAGGCTGCACGCAGAAATCTCCTTCAGCTTTCACTCCTGGGGTGTGGGAACCTCTTCTCAGCCCACTGCTTTGCGTTTCCACCCCATGATTCCTGTTCTCTGCTTCAGTCTCTTAACTTTGTCTCTACCAACTCTGCCATTTCAAATTCTGGTCCATCACTTCTCTCCCAGCCATTCCTGCTAGCAGCCAGACTGGATGGTGGTGGGGAAGCCAAGTGGGTTTCCAGGACCAGTATTCCCCTATGTAAACCTCTTCCCACACTTGATTTTCTCTGGGTCACTTAGGCCTACACTCAGTCACACAATGTGGGTTTGTGCAACTCACTTTTTGACCAGACTCAGTTCTGCCAGTAATCAGCTCCTCCAGCTACTGGCCCCTGGGCCATGGTACACAATGATTCTTTCTGCTGTGTTCTGTACACACTGCCATGGCTTCTCTCCCATACAGGGATGCTGTGCAGTATGGCTTATTGTTTTTTTTTTTTTGAGCACTGTCTCTGATCTCTAAGCTCTCTGAACCCTGACATGCCTCATTCTTACCAGGAGTGAGGGTTCCTTTAATTCCTTTATGACTTTACTATGTTCACATAGGGAATGTTCTGGTTTGCAACTATTGGAGTAGTTATCTTTCCTCCTTATTTTAATTATACAAGATCTCCTGAGTCTCTGATCTGTTTTGAGTGTCCAGTATGCTTCAGTAAATTAAATTCCAATAAAGACATCTTTATTTTGGGGTAGAGGGGTACCAAGGATGGAACTTGGGTGCACTCAAAACTAAGCCACATCCATGTTCCTATTTTGTATTTTATTTAGAGACAGGGTCTCACTGAGTACCTGGCCATTGCTGAGGCTGGCTTTGAACTTATGATCCTCTTGTCTCAGCCTCCCCAGCCACTGGGCTTACAGGCATTCAACATAGCACCTGGCTCCTCTCTAATTCTTGATCATTCACACACCTTGTTGAAAAACTGCCTGTCTTCTTATCTTGGTTCTTGGTGAAGCAACTCCTCTATTCCACAATCTTCCAAAATCTCTCTTAAAATTCTTATAATAAATTATTTAATGACTTTTCATGGGTGGCCGTACAAGGAGTGTGCTAGACACATGGCCAAACCAGCTTTAATATCAGACCAACTTTCACGATAATACATTAACCCAGAATTTTCTTGGTTTGAATGGTTTAAATTGGTTTGGATTATCTTGATGTTGTTCATTGGGTTGGAACCTAATGAACATATTAAATGTCTCACCTGGTCCCTCAACCAAGAGTATCAAAATGGCATATGAGAACTGACAGTAAAGTGACATCCAGATTACTATTCTGAGAATGAAAAAATGCAGAGAGAAAATTTAAACAAGTGTGTGAGCCATGTAAGGATTTTCCCAGATGGTAAAAAAGACATCTATGGCAAGTATGGCAAGGAAAGCTTCTGTGATGTAGGAGGTGATGGAAGTCATTTTATAGTCCATTTAATAAGATTTCACTTCCCATTGCAAAATCTGGATGATGACTTCAGTCAGTATTATGGTGGAACAGACCCATTTTCATGACACTCATCTGAGAATTACTTGAGGATTTTTGGAGAACCAATAGGGTGCCCTGGAAGGCAGATGCCAAGTTGTGGCTGGATTTTTCCTGTTTTCAGGGGATTAACATCATTTGGAGGTGATTTTCTTGATTTGATAAAGGTTTACTTGGCTCACTAGGTCAGGGGTGCCTCACTTCATTCTCTTCTGTGTCATTTGGAGTCATGGGATGGGGACTTCAAATTTATCAATGTCTGCTAAAATAACATATGTCAGGAAAATTCCCCCAAGGGAATTGTCACGTATCATCAAGAAAGAGTACAAGTTAGAGATGATGGCTGGAATCCTTAATGATCAATGGTAAGGAGTAGCTGCTGTTTTTGGATAACAAGTAATTCAATGCATGCATTTAATGGAAATGTGAAACTATCACAAGCACCACTTTAGAATTAATATGAACTTGTTCTTAAGATTTTATAACAGGGCAGTGGCCTGCTCAGAAGCTGAGGTAATCTCAGAGATGCCCTGATTAGCTTTTTCTCTGGGGGTCGTGTTTCAGAAGCCTGCAAGCTGTGTGGTTCCCTTGATTTGACATTCTGCTGTCCACATCCTGAAATCCAAACAAGAGGCCTTTCATTTGTACTTTGCACTGGGCCTCATAGATGGCACAGCCAGTCTTGGAACTAGGTGCAGGGCAAACAACCCTAGGAAACCCTTCCCCTCAGGAAGTTTCCCAACTACTGCAGGCAGATGGAGTACAGCTCAATTTAATCTAGTCCAATAAATGTAACTCCTGCAAAATAATCAATCACATGGGTGCTGGGATTTCTTTAACCTTGGAAAGGATTACTGTGGGTTAGCCAGTGATAGGGAGGGGTACAGGATATTTGAGGAAGGGAAGAGTAGAAGGAAAAGATTTCTAGAGAGAGGTGGTGTGTAGTTTGGGTTTGGGATGTTCCCCCAGGCCCATGGGCTGAAGGTATAATCACTAGCCTGTGACTCTGGGAGGTGGTAGAAAATTTGGAGGTGAGTTTTAGTGGGAGTAAGTTAAGCCATTGGTGGTGTGTCTTTGAAAGGAAATTCAGGATATAAGCCACTCCCTCATTTGGCTATGATGCCACAATGATTTAGTATCTTTGCTCTATCCCTTACTGTGTCCATGATGAATTGTCTTGCCATAGGCATTCAAGCAAAAAAAGAGGTCAACCAAGCCTGAAATATCTTAAACCATGAGATTGTTGGAGAACCAAATGGGTGCCCTTTTGGTTTACTATTTTATGTTGATTAACACAAGGATTGTGCCTCAAGAGGTCACATGCTGGCAAGTTGTTCAGAAGACTTAGGACCTTGTCCTCCTATTCCTACTTGTGTTCACCTAAAGGCCTATTCTTATGAAACTGTAGAGGGACTTTGGGAACACTGAAAGAGAAAAACTCTCCATGCAGTGGAAGTACAACTCTTAAGGAGATGAGAATCTGCCACAGAACAGTAGGGTGTTGGTTTGGTTTTGCCTGATGAAGAAAAGGAAGGGGTGGTCAGCACGAAACATTGGTATACATGGTAAGCAGTCTTCCACAATGCCTATGGCCATGGTTGCTGCAGCCTCAGTGCCTTCCTCATTCACCTCCATGACTCTCTTGTGCACAAACTTAGACAGACACAGATCTGTGTCAGTTGACATTGCAGACAAGTCTGCCTCCCCTGTTGGAAGGCATCAACCATTTTAAAATGCTGAAGCACAGTGTCCATGTAATAATCCCCCTGCAGTTTAAATCTTGGAAGGAAATCTTCATCTTCACTATAGTACATAAAATCTGGCTTGGTCCAGGCTATGAATTTCTCAAAAGTAAGGTTATTTTCAACCTGAAAGACAAGAATTACCAGTTTACATTCAGACTTCAGTGAGTATCTACAAACACACAAGACATTTCCGTGAACATTTTATGTTGACTGTCCACACAGGATAGGCAGCTCCTTCAGCTGCCAGAAAAGTTATGAGGGCTCTGACTCATCCACTACCCCATGTGCTATCCCATGTGTGACTTCCCTGCAGGGAGACTGTGTCTACCCCTCCTTATCCATTCACTATTGAATCATGTTTCCTTCTGAGATGTGTCCATGCCCAGTGGATGGTGGTTTTCTGGTGGTATTTTTTATTTGAATAAGGCTTAGTTTTGAAGACTAGGGACCACTGATGGAAAGAAAAAATTTTACAGGAAAAGGAAGGGTTCTCAGTGTGAGCCACTCCAGGAGAGTACACCTGGTCACATGGTGTTTGGCACTCTTTGTGGAAACTCCTCATCACAGTTAGGGAGATATACAAAGAGAGAGAACATGGGAGCTTTTTTGCTCACAGAGACCCCTTAGATCATGACAATTCACTGCCACCATTGAGAAGATGGTTGACTCTCTTGCTATGGGATCATATTGCAAGGAAGCAAGAGGGACAAGGATGGGCGATTTGGCCTGTTGGGTTGTAAATATGGTGAAAACTGGGCACAGGTTGGGTTGTAACCAATTATTCCCACAGAAATTCTGCATGCAAAAGAGTGCCACCCACTCTGACTCAACGAACTGAGGTCCACGTGCTCCTCTGGGAGCAGAATTATCATGCTCAACTTGGTGCCAGCATAGGGCAGCTCCAGCACCTGTATCTGGGCCTCACTGATGTAGGCAGTGCTAAAATCAGCTTCCTAATGTATCATCTGCACTGGTTTTTCTTCTTCCTGAGAAGAAGGACCACACAAACACAAAATTTAAAACAGTATGAAAGGGGCAAAAAAAACTCTCAATTCTACTGCTAAAATTAATGAATAGTTTTCTAAAAGATGCCTTAAAAAGAGAGGCGAGTAGTTTAATACATAGAAGCTTCTTTGTTGCATTAAATTGTATTTTCAGAGATTAGGGAGTTTCACAAACTATTCTAATTAAACTGATTTAATTGAAATTAGACCTCATAGTCAACTAAGGCCTTTGCCTCTCATGTTTCATGGTAGGAAGCTGCAGATGCTGAATCAATAATAAGTTATTATTAACAACACTTCAAATGAAAGCTTATTTTAATTTTAAAAACAATTGATTGAAAATATGGAGTGTGGCTCAGTGTTACAATGCTTAGTTCACATACACAACTCCTACAGTTGATGCCCCACTACACAAAAACATAAAAACAAAACCAAACCCTTCATTCAAAAAGAGTGTTATCACATTCCCTGTGTAAACCCTGCCTCATGTTTGATATATATATATATATATACATACATACATACATACATATATCACCTCTTTTTGCTTTCTATCTAAGCTACTTGTGTCTATAGAAAGATCTTTGTGTCCAGAGTGAGTTTTAGCCAATACATGTATGAGACTTTATCAGAAAGACAGTGCTAATAGGTTGAAACCATAACAGACAGTAAGTATTATTTATTCATATATTTTTTCCAATGAGGTTAAAATTCATTAAGAGAGATGATAAGTTTGAAGTTATTATTATCCATTTAAGCCTTTACAAAGTTAACCTTTTCTATTCAAATTCTTCTTTAGACTATTATGATTTTTTAAAAAGTTTCTCCTACCTGGTTTATTTTGAAAGGCATTTCTTTTCTGAATGTTTTGTCAAACTGTTTCTTTGAAGTAGCTGGCATTGACAAATACCAGCTGAGCCTGCTGCTCAATTGAAACAGTTGGAAGCAACTCTTGAATTTGAACTTTAAAGACAAGCAGAGATTGTATCAGTTGTTTTTCTGAACCTGTGGTGAAAAAGCATGACATGATGTCTTGGAAATCCAAACATTCTGGTTTCAAATGTGCTGAGTTTGGATGGTTAAGTACAAAAGTTAAAACTCCATTTATGGGTTTGTATTTATGACAACAACCACTGCAAGGTACACCAAGTTGAAGATGGTGAAAGACTTCTAAGTCACTGGAGGAAAGCAGGTTGACATAAAGCAGAAACTTCACACCAGGATAGAGTAGAAGACAAGCCATAAATGAGAGAGGGGCTGTGTAGGAGCTGACATTACCTGCTGTGGGTAAGAGCAGTGTCAGGTCTAAGGCCCTGTGGTCAGGTCCAGTTCTAATATTGTACACATAGCAAAATTTCAGCAGCAGATGATATTGAATAGCTCCAGATCAGGAGCATAGGAAGAGTTTTTGGAAAGTACTAGAAGAGATATTATGATTGCATCCTCCTGGCACCTGGTATCCCTGGAAGAAATAATGATTTGGGTAGGTGAATTACATCCATTTTAACCTGGATAACAAGTGGTAAATTCCCCCCAAAATAAATAAATAAAGAGCATCCCTAGAAATTTTCTGCCTCAAGTGGATAACAAGGAATAAAATTTCCAAGAAAAAATAGTGGAAAGGACTACCTCTATTTTTATGGTCCCATTTATTAGCAGAAATAGGGATGTTCTGAGTGGTGCATAAGTATCTGGATGGTTTAAACATCAAACCATCATTGATTATGAGGACCAAAGTTAGAACTTATCACACTCTTAAAGATCAGTGGGTAAATTTTAGCCCCACAAGGATGGTATTTTCAGTGTGTGGAATGGATCAGCCCTGAGAAAGGCTATGTAGCTGACTAATCATGTCCAGGCTCCTCAAGTCTAAATGAAGGGTGCTTACGTGAGAGGAAAGAAGCAGTAGAAGTCAGGTTCACATGTAAAAGTTGGAGGAATGCAGTCCAAACTTACCCCAAGAACAAACGGAACTCCTTGCCAAGGGCATGACTTGGAGAATATCTTTCCATTGATCTTCTCCCAAAAGTGCCAGTCACCTGCCATGTAAACATTACAGACAAGTGACAATATGTTCTGTTCTTGTGTAAAATATTAACCAGGAAATCTGGCCTATGAGTTTCTTTAACATTTGTATCAGCCACTCTGTTCCCAGGAGAACAGATACTATTAGTCTTTTGGTTGTGAAAACATAAGGATTGATCAGACCTTCTGTGAGCCCATTCAGGTTCACACACCATGATGCTCAGCCAGGCAACCCTGTTCTGACCTCCTTCAACACCAATGACATTAGAAGTGACAAGGAGGGGGAGAAGAGGAGAAGGGAGGACAGAGCTCTGATGGGAGGAGAAGGGAATGACCCGTAATTCTGACCTTTTGTCTCTTTTGAGACCCATGTGTTTTTATGCTTCCTGGACTTCTCTGTAGCTTTGGCAAAGGACAGAAGCTCCAGTTCTGCATGATATCACTGAAGACAGGACTCCTTAAATGTCTTTGGAGAGAGTAGTGTTCAGTGAAGCCATGTTGCTAAATGAAATTGCCAGTGAGCTTCAAAACAGTCTGCGTGCTAGCTTTAGGATTCTTTTAAAATTAAGAACATGAGCAAATTTTATAATTAGAAGTTGAGTCATTTACATTTGTAAAGAGATGTCCTGAGCCCTGGATAACCAGAGAAAACAAATGACATTTTAGGTATTGCCAATTTTGAAATAATACAAGGTATGAGTATAGAATTGGGATCTTTATTAAAAAATAGTTTACTATAAGTTTCTCAGTTTCTATAGGGTTTTGTTCATTTTTGATCAATGAGTCCAAGAACTTAACTTCTTGATTTCTTTGAATTTGATTCAAAGAAAGCACACACATCTATACAAAATGGACTACATCAGAAATCATAAGAAAAAAA